TCTCGAGAGCTTAGATTACTCACCCTCCAAGACACCCAGCTCAAGAAGCGGCGACACACAGGATGCGACTTCGAGGACGAGAGTCCAGAGCGATCCTCCGGCGAAAGATGACCCGGTTGCCTACCTTGCTTGTCACCCAGAGGTCGCCCCGGAAGAAGTCAAGGAAGAAGCCGAGCCGACCGTACGCTCCGCCAGAAAAGTATGAACATTTGCATATGCTGCCAGACTACTTGGAGCGGGGACTTGATGGTAAGCTCCTTCGCACCATTAACGCTTCTCCCGTCACTTAACATGATTTCTAGTTGTCTTCTGCGGTATCAAGTTGGTCCTTCTATTCCACAAGGTGCATAATTACTGATTGGTCGTAGCCCCGGATATACCTCTGCGGAGAATGGCCATCATTATGCACATTCGACTAATCACTTTTGGTTGGGTCTTTACGAATCTGGTGCGCCTTGCGAGCGCCGTGCCCAAGTACTCATCCAGCTCAAATGAAGGATAAGTGTAGGATTAACAGACGTCCTGCTGTCACCTGATGAGGATTATACACTGCCTGACAAGTACAACTTCGGCTTGGTGAGTGAACGATGAGTCACGTATGAATAGGCTCATTCGAATTAACGTCGTTGTAGACCAATCTGGTCGACAGACCGACAGCCGAGGTATGTCGTATCAGAGATGTCTGTGCGTCTACACGCCTCATGACACTGTGATAGCAATCCGAGCTCGCGGCAGACGAGATGCGCCAAGGTGTACCTGCGTTGATGAACAAGCTCGCAAAGTACCGCCCGCGGATCATCTGCTTCCTCTCGAAAGGAATATGGGAAGTCTTCTTGCGCGAGGCATACCGCCTTGCTTCGCTATCTTCAAAAGAGACTTTGCCCTCTCTGAGCCCCTCGAGCCAGAGTCCGCCGTCCAGTCAGTCAACACCGTCGAGACGTGCCTCGCCTCTCAAGTCCAGGTTCTTCGACAGCACGACCCACTCTCGGGACGACGGCTCACCAGAGGCGATAGATGCTTCGCCTACACCGCGAAAGCGAAGCAAGACCAAGGTGCCGAAACACTCGTTCAACTGGGGCATGCAGCCGTTCAAAGTCATGCACCGCCAACCTGGTACGTGATTTCAGCCTGGTGCATGTTATCTCTGCTCACTGTCAGGGCAGGATCATTTTCGTCGTCTATAGACCAGACCTGGTTTTTCGTCGTCCCGAGCCCGTCTGCTCGTGTTGTCGCCTACCAGGTACACCAGACTCTCCCGCTCCGTAGTGCGATACTTTACTGACCGCCCCCTCCGATTCTTTTCAGTGGTGGGACAAGGTCGAGTTTTTCAAGAAGCTACGCGAATTCACTAGCGAAGTGAAAAATGGCCGAGTCGATGCTTCTGAGCATCACGTCTTACCGCTCACTACAACTAAATCAATATATTTTATGAATATGTGAGGTAATTCGTAATGGCTTTTGGGGCACTCGGAGTGAGCTTTACACCCCGATGTCAGCACAGCATGTGGCGTCCCATATTCCTCTCAGTTTGCGTACGTTGTCACTTCAGATCTGTCCCCAAACGTGTAGTTCCTTTTTTCTTCTTTGAAGCTAAGATGACCGAAGCCCGCCAGACTCGTTGTTGTACAATGGTCATACATCTAAGTCATAACGAACGCTACGAGAAAGAATGTCGTCAAACCTTGAGACAAGCCCGCACCTGCGGGCAGGAGCAATAAATGACGAATAAGGAGCGCATATAGGTAGGCAGGTTTCAGATGAGAGCGCTTCGCGAGGCCTGCGACTCCGAATCGAACGAGGCATCGACGACGCGCCCAGGGATCTCAACGTCCTACGAGCACAGCTCAGCCAATGCAGCAAAATACTGAACCAGATCCAACGCACCTGGTCCTTGGCGACCCCGTCCGGCATGCTGCAGACGGCCTGCGAGCCGTCCGATGTGCCCGAACGCCCGAGGATGCTCGCGAGCTTCGAGAGATGGACAGAGATGGCCTGACCAGCGTGCATGTCGCGCGAATTAAGCAGTGCAAGCAGAGAGTTGAGCATCACTGTTCCCGCATGTCAGCGTTTTGGCGCAGGTATGAAGAACGTGGCGGACGCCGCACGTTTCGGCAGAACCATGGCAAAGGCGATGAAGACAAAATTGTGCGGCATGGCGGCGTACTGTGGGCTCTGATGTCAGCTGTACGGTGTGTATATAGATGGAGAGGGGGGTTTACTGTGATGACAGAGGCAATGGCCACGGAACTTTGCAAAGGATCAGTATCGTTGAGACCCCTGCGAGACGCTCGGGAACGCACCTTGTTAATGCGCAT